CATGTTGAGTTTATTCAATCATTGATTCTGAATCTTTTAATGATGACTTTAGAGATGTTTCATCTTAAAAGGAACAAACATCTAAGATTAACTAATACTCAGGTTAATATACACGATCTAAAATCGTGGTTTGAGGACACTTCTATATTTCATATGCAACAACTTTTAATGAAAAAATTTTATTATCAACATTTGAATTTGTCTATTTCTAAAAAAATCAGATCTAAGTACCTCTGTATTCATTTTTAAAGTGCACACTTGAAACGTATCTTTGTAAAAATTTTCCACTATTATTCACTATACAGCAATGTTTTTCATTTACACACTTTTGTTTACCAAAACATTCTCAGATATAATTTTTGTTTGATGACTGTGTCTTATAGTTTAATTATAATTTGAATTTTTTTGTTAAATTTACATTCACCACCATCAATCTCAATGTACATTCGCTTTATAAAATCATACTTATTTGCATGACTTGTTATTAAACAATTAATATCCACGCAAAGCCTTTGAACTGTGTGCTACTTTCAATACAACTCCTCATACAGTTTCTTTTCCAGATTTTACATTTTGTGATTTATGGAATAATGCAGAACAACTGTGACAAGATTGTATTTGTGTAAAACTATTTGAATTACCTTTAATAATTTAATTTTCTTAAAAAAAAGAGCATTTCAAGAAACAGACAAGAAGAGTATATCATTATTGATAAGAATTCGAATTATTCTGTTGTTTATATTCAAGATAACATTTTTATCAGTCATTGTTGGCATATGTACATTCTAGGTGGCCATTTTGTAACAAGTTTTATAGAGTAGATAAATTGTGATTACCAATAAAGTTCAATACACTCGCTTTATCTAAATTGGAACTAATCATCAGCTGCATGTATTTGTATCCCACTGTTGATATTTACATCAGTACTCTAACCCAGCTAGTGAATCCAGATAAACACTAGCTTGTTCAACCGATATGATGTTAATGTCCTTATTGGTGAGTGTTCGAGTCCTGATGTGGACATAAAGAGTAACTCAGGCACACCCATCCTATGAGTCCTGAATAATAAGAAATGGGTCTACTGAGTTCCATTGCTAGTCAAAATCTGTTTATTCTTTAAAACAAGATGATTACTTGTTGATTATTAGTTACGCTAAATGAGAAGATAGAATTGTGTACATGAACCATATCTTTTGAATGTTAGCAACTGGAGCGCTTTCATTTCGTCATACAATTTTGTATAAGATATGATTCATTGTGGAAAATATAGGAATATTTATTAATTAAACATTGAAGTAATAAAATACATTTTGGCAATTCTAATTTAGGCATATTTTTCATTTATTGTCCATCGATCTGAACAATATTTACCGATGCTCACTTTCCTTACTATATTTCTCATCCCATTTATAATAAATATATTTTTTGTTATATCTCAATTAGTAGAAAATTGTATTTCTGAAGTTTCGTGACCTAATATAAGTCAGCATAAATAAATACAAAAAATATATTTGTTTTTTATTAACTTTCTACCCAGTGCTCAATTTATTTGAAACTATCAAGTCCAACCTTGAGATTGATACCTACACTCTATTTATGTTTTAATGAACTGACTGAAAATGAAAAGAGGGAGTATTGTAATACAGGTAAGTTGGACTGTTAACACGGGAATACGTTATTGTTCTATAGAGAAAAAATCACTAATGAGTCCAAACTAGTATGAAACACAGGTTCAGAGTTTATTGCCGACTACCTCTAACCGATTAACATCTCAATATAGTATACGTAATACTGAGTCATTCAGATTAATAGCCAAATCGGAACTTGATCAGTAGAATTCAGTCAATTCTAAAGGATTAGACAAATATGACACTGACCACTCTTTAGTGATCAATGAATTACATCAATATGTATATTCATAGTTAACGAAATTAATGTCATAGGAATATCAGACAATATTTTACATAAGTGTTTGTCATTGGTATTTTCAGAAGTTTTCATTCAATGTTGTTAATTTTTCTAAATATGTTTAATGAAATAGTACAGTATATGAAATTATACATCAGATAATGTACATTATTTTTGTACTTACAAAACATATTAAGCTCCACATAATATTGTACAACATTTGGGATTAGATATATAAAGTACTGTTTGTGTCATTGTTAACTTTTCCTTAATAAAATCTCTTGCTACCAAATATACATGCATATTCATTGACTCACAAGAGCCTATAAATCCTATTTTCCGCCTTGTATTGATCAAAACAACAACTTTAAAAGAATTTCACTCTCCCTCTTTTTTTCTTTAAAAAAAAAAGACAATTGTCTCCTTTCTATGTTTGTTTTGTAGTTTTACTTCATTCGAATCTTAGTATTCAATAATCAGTACTGTCAGTGTTAAAACTATGTATAGAGATACTTTTGACGGGGAAAAAAACACAACGACGACAATAACAACAACAACAGGAAAGCTGACAAATAACAAAAACTTTTAAATTATTGAAAACAATTCTAAATTATTGTCAGGAAGTATATTTCATTAAGTCTACTAATGATGACACAATACTGGATCAATAATATTAGGGTATTGTTTCGTTCAATTCAAAGTGTGAATTATATATATATAATATGACCAATCTTTTTACTAAATTGTTCTTGAAATGATGAATTTGTATGCATTATTCATGGTGTTTTGATGATTCACGATCAAATGTATTGATATTCTTTACATTCGTGAATCCATATGTAGATGTACATAATAATTCGGACAGTAAGTCGAGATAGATTTATTCCTAAACAATATACAGTTATACATGAAATTATTAATCTAAATGTTTAACAACCAAAAATCTCCTTTAAAAATATTTGTAACTTAATCCTAAAGTTTCCTGCGTTTTAGTTACTTTCCGGGCTTGAGACCGGCAGTAGCCTCAGAGGGGTTCCAGGCGGAGTTATAGAAAATATTTAGGAAAATAAATATAAAAATAATTTTAGATGATTGATCTCAGTTGTAATAATACTGAAGATCAGAGAAAAATGGACAGTTGTTTCATTTTAGTATGGAACTTCTCTTCAGTAGACACACTATTTCACCAAAGATTTGTGGAGGCCCGTTATTTAATCGTCATTCAGATCGAACGATGTTATCGAAAGGGCTCTCCACTTTAGTGGCCCGTGGATCTGACTCCAAGTAGATCGTAATGATGATTGTTGTTGAAATATATATATCGCCTATTCACGTATATAATCGTCGACTTAAATCGCGTTAGTCAATAACGGAATTAAATAGGTCAAATAACGAGAATGGACTTTTGAATACATATATTTTGTATATAAAGTGAATGGAATAGGACAAAGCAAAACGACGCGCAGTGGAGATGGAGGGCAAGCCAACTCCCCTTTTAACCAAGCGTTAATCAATATTTATAGTTACACAAAAGTAAGTTACAGACACTTGATGGGTAATGGGATAAGAAATGTACACACACCTACGCACTCATATAAAAACAGTGAAGACTGATAAGCGAATAATTAACAAGGTCAGAATGTGACTCAAGTAGGATGAATAAAATGGGCTGTCCGGAAGCTAGAATAAGGTATATGGGCTGAACATAATAACCGACACTATAGATTGAAACCAGGAGCTTTAGATCTCGTGGTGAACAACTCATCATTAGACTATCTAAACGATTGGAACAACCTTACAGAAGATCATTTTATATAAACAACAGTAGTTTGTTCACCAGCGATTTACTTCCAAATAAGTTGTAATGGAAAATTTTGATCGATTATGTTCAGCTATATGGAGAGTAAAACAATGGTCATCAGAGAAATTAAATAATCATCATGCAATATTGAGGATCAATTAAAGCTAGAAATGGGAAATTTTGGATTCCAACTATATAGTCTGATGGTTGAACACTTTTCACTAGGCCTGAAAGTCCTGGTGTTAGGGATGCAGAGGAATATACCGATAATTATGGTGTTAAGTCTAATGATGTCCTTGGACTTTAAATGTACACTCCCTATTGGTCAATATTTGTTTCACTCGTTAAATATTGTACAAATGTTGTTTTTCTATTTTATGGTACGATGTGGTTTGTTTGGTTGGTATATAAAGAGTATGTCTGAAATATATTGATTCATAACTCAGAGGCTAAGACTTGCGTTCTGGACTCAGCTGGCAGGACTAGACAGGGAAGCGGAACCAGTCGAGACTCTGGGCCGTTCGTACGTGTTTTTCGTGTCATTGAATCGATCGATAAATACGCCGCTCTCTAATCTTTCAGTCAAGGACACAACAATTGGCACGGGGTAAAAAGCGATCCAAGTTTGAAGTCACAACACCTGGATTCGAATCTCGCGAGGGAGGCGGGATCATGGACGCGCACTGCCGAGGAGTCCCACAATAGGATGAAATGGCCGTCCAATTCTCCCAGGTTTTCTATAGTGGTCTAGCTTCAATTGGCTCATGATCTCAACCATTGAAATTACTATAATATCCACAAAAACTCCTTCTGATCTGAAAACAAAAACTAATATCATTATATAAAAGACCTTTATGAACAGTATGATTCTTCATTTCAAAAGACAATATTATGTATATATTAAATGTTCATAAAATCATCTTTAATATTATTTTATTGCATATTGCGCAGTTCAATTTTTGTAAATAGACTCATATACAAATAGATTAATCTAAATCAGTAAAAATTCGATTTTTTTTATCTTTTAGAAAAAGATTTTTTAAAAAAACCCCTCATGTGAATTTTAAAACAAATTGCCATATTATATATCCGTTCAAAAAAAAAATTGGCCTAGTTTCTAACAGGCGTATACAGTATCTATCTATATAATATTTACCTATCAATTTACTTATCTTTTTTTGACCTATTGATTACTGATTGGTTAAAAAAGATTTAACCAATAAGATTTCGGTGTCCCAAAATTCCATTCATAAATAAATAAATTTATTTATTTTAAAAAAAAAAGAAAATGTATCAGCAAAATTATGAAAATAGTTTTACTCATCAAAATACAAATGAAAATATAAATCTTTATAAGGAATTAAATAGTTTGCGAAATTCTCAATCAGGACATATATAATAATAATAATAATAATATGAAATGAATGGAAGATAAACAGAATTAATATACTTTTGATAGATCTGATTTATTTTTTATTACTTTCATAAAATAATGCCTTTTCGTCGACATGCTTATGATTTTATGTTAGATGATGGATTAGATACACGTATACCGGTGTATAGTGATGAAGTGTTTAAACAAGGTATTCATTTCTGTGCCAAGGTGAGTATTTATAATTATGTTAGATAGGTTGAAAATAATAATGAATTTGAGTGAATATAAGCATTATTATTATTAATAATAATGGTATTTGTTAGTAATATATACTTTATAAATATTATTCATATAATGGGTGAATACATTGATCACAGTTGATTTATTAGTGTAGGGTTGTGAAAATTGTTAAGTTTTGGTTGAAATCATGAACCGATCAATATTAGGCCAGCAATGAACACCTGGAAGTATTAAACAGCCGTCTCATCCTAGTATGTGACTCCTCATCAGCTCACATTCACGAGTTTGCACATAAGACTCGAACTAAAAAACTTTCTTGACCGCGGATGCTGACTTCTGAGGAGTTTTATAGTAGGAAGAACTAACTGTCCATTGTATCCAGGTTTTCAATGGTGATCTAACATTGGTCAGCTCATGATCTGAATGAAAACATAGTTGATTTGCTTTCATCATGTAAAGGTTTGTATTTATGAAAATATGTAATGTTTATTATTATCATTGTAATAATCGTTTGGTTTTACTCCATGATTTAATAACGATGTGTTATTAAACTACAAAATTTGTAAATTTAATTAGTGCTGTTTACTAAAGAGTTTTTTTATGTCCCAGTCTATACTCCGCTAATATATAGAATATGTAAATGATGGAATTTGTGACTAGTGTACATATTTTGACAGATATATAGCCTTCTTTAAACCGATCGCCTTTTATTTCATTTATGTTATGATTATACTTACATGCAAACTATAAAAAAGGTGTATTCCCAGATGATTAACTATAATAAGCAAACATTCAAATCTTTGCAATGTTCACGTATCAAAACATATCAAATCGTTAATTATCTTAGTCTTTTCAGTCGATTTGTAGTTAAACATTGAAATAAAATTAGTCAAATAATGATTTAATTTTATGATCAGATCGTAAGTTCCAATCCTATTTCATCTATTGAAGTTTGTGCTAATAAACAATCTCAATAGATTTAGAATTTTAGTTTTGAGGCCAAATCCATGAATCTTTTCTTAGCTAATAAGTTGAATAAATCTTAGAAATGTTTTGTAGAAAATTTTTTCATATAATTTTATTAAATATAATGATAGAGATGTGAGAGTAGTTCTTTGGTATAACTCACTATTGATAAAACTGATCGTGTGTACTGATTTCTTTGAATATACACTTTAAGCTTTTAAGATTTTGAACGTAACAATGTTTAAACTAAATACATAGAATATATTATATGTATTATACGAATACTCAAATAATTAAGGTCAATAAGAACCAATCACTGTCGAGGTGTACAGAACAACCTGTGAAACACATATGGAGAAATTCGAACACTTCACTTCTATCTGAAGTTTGTGCTAATGATGTCGTTCAGAAAAACAATGAAAACTCCACGACCAAACCATCCAGCTCAGAGAAAAAAACTCCATCAAACACTCAAATAATTAAAATATTAATTACTTATTTATGAATAACTAGTGTATTGATTTAATATACTAGTAATCCATGAATACCTAATTTCAATTCTTATATATACAGAGATTTATTCAATTACTGTAAATATAAAAACATTATAGATGGTTTATTATAAATCAGATCTGATAAAGCATATCTTAACATATTTGCAAATATTCCCATTCAACTGTCATTATTTATATCTTAGGAACAATATAAACTTTAAATCATTCAAGTTTTCAAAAGTAGATATTTGAAAGCAAGTTGCATAAACTAACTCATATAATTAGTATGTATATGAAGATGAAATTTTGTCATGAAGGTATTATAGTAAATGAGAATACAATTGAGGACAATCAAATATATTTGAATACAGAATATCTTAGTAAAACGTAAAAACCATACAGTAATAGCTAAATTTGTAAAATGTTAATCAATTGTCTCAAACTTCATTATTTCTTCATTTCCACACCAGTTATTCTCTGTTCTCGTTCTCTTTTCTTCGATCTTATTATTTTTCTACCGCCAGGCATTTCACTTTCGGTTGATGGTACATATTGCTTATACCTGTTGACATCCGTAGCACACACACCACACCATACACCATAAGAACTTGAATAATTAATAACTCTGTACGTGAAACGGACATTCAGATATAAGTGGTTTAATTTCCGATTTCGATCTCTTATCAGCCATTTCAAGTAATCATTTCTAGATAGAACAAATAAATAGGACAAACTGTTTTCATAATCATCTTTTATAATACAAAAATCTATTGTTATAGTGTTTATGTTACTTTTTAAACGATATTGGAAACTCTTTAAACATTTCCATTTCTATCCTTTGAAGCAAGGGCTTGTTGACTGATCTTTAGATTCTGAGTGTAACCTGATGTTTATAAAACATAAAATAAAAATAAAATGTTTCCTTACTCATATTTTAAAAGAAATTTTTTTATTTAGAAAAAATGACCATAAGGCATAGCAACTAAATCCCCCCCCTCCTTTAGATTTAATTATAGTTCTGAGATCATAGTTTCCAATACCTTTAAAGTTTCGTTTCAATACACCAATTTATTCAAAATTTTGTAAATTTTTTTTATAAAAAAAAATAAATGCAAAATACATTTATGGTAAATTTCACTTGATCCCATATATTCAAAGTTCAGTCATATTTACATATAATACAATTTACAATATTTTCATCTTTTAATTCATCTGATTAACATAAATTGACAGAACTTAAATTAAGGCTCATTTCTATTCTTATGTAATAGATATATAAATTTTTAAAAAATATATACGATTACTCAAATAAGATTCTTACAAGTGTATATTTCATTATTTCATTCTCCTACTTTAATTTAATGATAAAACAACTAATATTTCAGTCTAGTATATAAATAATGAACTTAAATTTAATCTTTACCATTATCAAAGTTTATAATGATAGGAGTTGCTATTGTTTGAACAGTACAAACAGTATACATGTATACATACGTTATACAATAACTCACTATTGAATAACATATCATTAATGTAGTATATATATATACTTACTCGCTTACGCCTGTTACTCCCAATGGAGCATAGGCCACAGACCAGCATTTTCTAACCCATTCTGTCTTGAGCTTTTCTTTCCAGTTCTATCCAATTTTTGTTCATTTTTCTCATGCCTGTCTCCATTTCTCGACGTAATGTGTTCTTTGGTCTTCCTCTTTTCCCATGGCTTTGAGGATTCTATGTGAGAGCTTGCCCTTCTCTTTTATCTGGACTTACGACCGGCAGTAGCCCTAGAGGGGCTCCAGGTGGAGTTATATATATCTCGCCAGTAATTCATTCATTTGTCATTAGTAAGTTTTCATCTGATCATAATTGCTTATCTGAGAAAATAATTTTAATTAACTATGAAAAGATGTATGTATATATATCATTGCTACATTGATCACACGTAAATGTTACAGTTGCATAACTACTGATCAGCATTTCATTCATAGAAAAAAGAATATTTGAAATAGAATATAACGATACATGTATACTTTTGAGTGAACCATCTTATTACTATTATTAGATAATAATATAATCATGAACTAGTAACTTTTTATCTTTTTTACTTACAGAATATACAGAATATACACCTAATTTAATGACATTCTATATATTAATTAACAATAACCAATAAACTAATAAGAAATTGAGTGATTAAATCTTTAAGATTAAATTTTGTATCATAAAACTATAAACTAAATGGCATAGTAACAAGAATTTGTAACGTTACGTCATAAATATGTATAACTGATAATAATAGAGATTCATTGATAATTATCTTAGAAGTGTACTACTAATCAATTAATAATAATATATTATAATCTAAACATAATAATCTATTTAAAGTAAGTACTATTATTATAGAAAAGTATTGATAGTATGAAGGGAAAAATTTATGTAAAATGATACCGGTAACATACAAGTATAAATGAAATATCAAAGAGATCTGAAACATAATTTAAGGAAAATGTGACAGTTTTCTTTTTCTTTTCAAAATATAGAAATAATAAAGAAAGGAGAATAATAATGTTAACTAAGTTTAAGATACAACCAAGACAATGATATAAATATCAGAATGGGTTTTGTGGAGATTTTTAGAAATTTCACAGGTTGAAATTATGAGTCAATTGAAGCTAGACCACCATCCCACGGGTTGCAGAACCGTGGATGCGCACTACTGAGGAGTCCCATACTAGGACAAAACAGCCGTCCATTGCTTCCAGGTTTTTCATGGTTGTCTAGCTTCAATTGACTCATGGTTTCAACCTGTGAAATGATATAAATAGGATGTATTTTTTCTTTCTTTCTACAAATGTAAAGTTTAGATGTTACCTAATCGATAGTCAAAAGTTTTCACTGTTTTGAACAGTTAAAGATAAATGAGTTTGTAAGTATCATTTTACCAAGGTTCGACTTGATCATTTCAAATGTTTAGATTGTTATAAATTGATATGATAGAAAGAAAGGTCAATTTTTGATTGAATTACTCATAAGTAGTTTTATTCAACATTGACATCCGTTTTGATTCAGTGTAGTAGTTGATTTGTTTTCCCAGTATGATATTTTCTTCTGTATAATATACGATATTCTTGTATTCACTTGACATGAACTAGGCTCAATAAGTGATTTGTTATAACTGAGTATGTGATCTAATCCGCATTATTATTCAAAATGGGTGTACAATAAATATATAAAAACCAGTGTATATTAGACTATTTTGATTCGTCGTCGTCGTCATAGTGTTTTGGGGCTAATAAATTTTCACTTATACCAGTCGTGTGTTCTTACTTTCGCGTCGTGGGAATTGCCGAGATCCCCCGTTCCGAGTATAAGTGATCAGCGTTATTCCGGCACAGCAATCTGCGACGACCAAATATAACATAACTAAAAATAATATATTTGTAATATTCCAATGAGTAGAAAAATTAAATTTTCTGACGTTTCGTGACTCAGTATAAGCCACTTCTTCAGAGAATAAATAATCAG